AACTGATTTTGTTTACTTTTCCTAAGACTTTCTTAGCTAATAGTTGCGGAGAAGAAGGCGGGAAATATAATGGATTCTTTGACGATCAGTACATCAAAACTACACAGTCATTGCTTTTAAAATACAAATTATGGAAAATTTTCTCTTCAGTACAGAGGAGCAATAATATGGAATAGTTTACCAAATGATTTGAAGGAATTGATACTCATTAATCCACCTTTTTTATTTTCAACCATGTAAAGAGATCATTGGGGAATCTTAAAAAAAAAGCTCATCAGAGCTTGCTGTGTTCTCGTTTGCCTTAAATATGTAATATATATTGTAATAACAAGATTATGTTCGATATATGAAGGTTGGCAATAAAACAAGATATATTTTTTTAAAAAACTGTCAACTACCCGAGGCCGAAGTTGCAAGAATTTTCAAACCAAAAGATCTTGGTTATGAAAGCGGCAAAAATAGAACTGATGAAAACAAACTTAATTTGCTGCCGTTTGAAAAGTGTTAGAAACTCCCTGACCCTGCACGAGGATTTTTTTTTTAGTTGTGACTGAATGAATAGAATTCCCGTGCGCCAAAAGCCTGGTTAAAGCATGGTTTACCAGGGTGCAAGCCTGGTTGAACCAACCAGACTTTTCTGGTTGCCAAACCAGGCTTACCAGACTTTATATTACTGATGTGCAAAAATCCTGGTTACTCAGGGTATCCCTGGTAAGCCTGGTAAGTTTGGTTATTCTAAGAACCAAGAAAACCAAGCTTTAACCAGGCTCTTAAAGTTTTACATGAACCAGGCTTACCAAGCTCGAACCATATGTGCAAAAAGCATGGTTGACCAGGGTATTCCTGGTAAGCATGGCAAGCCTGGTTATTATTCAAACCAGGAAGGAAAACCAGACTTTAACCAGGCTCTTGAAATTCTGAATGAGCCAGGCTTGAACCATAAATACAAAAAGCCCGGTTAACCAAGGTATTCCTGGTTAGCTTGGCAAGCCTGGTAGACCAGGCTTTACCTTCAGGGCGGAAAAACGTTCTGCGCAAGCTTCTGCGCATCTCTTATCGCAGGCTCAAGGCGGGCTTTTCTGTGTGTTGATTGTGTTTGTTTGTTGCTAAAGTTCTGAGTGAAGTGCACGAGGTGCGAACGTTTGCTCCCTGTAAAGCATTTTTATTTGACATGTTGCCTTTTTTTTTCGTCGCTTGAAAATTATTTTGGATTCAGAACAACCGATGTTAAAGGAAAAACGGATCATTCCGTCAGTCTGAGGTGGAATAAAAGGCTTTGAACACTTTTAAAGAGGCGAGTAGTTTTTCTGATTGTGCATCCGATTAATTTATTATATGAGTTGGTTTCGCCGGGTTGAATTAAAACCCGCTTGTACTCTGTTATTAGTAGTTACGGTTACTTTTTTTACACGCCCAGATTTATTACCTTTGCAGAACCAGCTTTATCTTTGTCTTCAGTCAAACAACCATTTTGTTGTTATAACGCATCAGAGTGAGCAAACTGGTGCGCTTATTAAACTTCCTCGGAAATAGAAGGCCAGCGAGCTTACTCAGGATCATTTTTCTGTTGCTCAAGGAATAGTAGTCAGAGTTTTTTTTCATTTTCATTACATAGTTTTGTTTTCCAGTGCACTGTGAAAGTTTCTGTTCTTTATAAGAATAACTTTCTGTACGCAAATTGTCCCTTTCACTCGCTGTGAAGTTGAGAACGACAACTCCCGGCAGTGACTTCAAAACAATTGACTCTTTTCCCGTAAACAATTGCTGCAGCTGGATTTGACTGAGGTGAGCAAAACAAACCCTTATGTGCAATTTTCTGTATTTTCTAATGATCGGCTTAGTTTAATTTGCTTAAACGAAGACCCTCGCAAGGACGTGCTAAGCTTAAAATAGCTAAATGGTGAATCACGGCTTGGCTGCCAAGTTGCATCTTTTGCTTTTAAGATCTTCAGGTAGGTTGTTTTCGTACAGAAAATTCATTTCTTCATTGTCAGCAAGAAGTTTTTGAAATAATATAACTTTAACTTTGTTTGATGGAAATCCTACTCACGCGTAGGTTTTTGACAGATGTTATGCGTGTTCAACTTGACAACACAAAGCAAAATTTATATATCTGTGCGAAACGAGCAAGTTTAAAAAACTATAGTTGCTTTGAAACCGATTTTTGGGAAGATTTTACCAGATAAAGGTTGACCTTTTTTCTGCCCACATATCAACGCAATAACGTCTACATTGAGGATTTTGTTTATATTTTAGTGATCTGCGAAACTACGAGTGTCCGATCGAGCGAGGGTTTTAAAATATCAGCTCGAGTGAGACAAAGTTCAGTGACTTCAAACACATTGTGGGCAAGCCTTAATTTTTTTGGGCAAATCATTGTCCAAAGATACGTTGTTTTTGTGTCCACTGTGGAGCTCCGGACCTTATATATCCAGGAACGTCCTTATATGAACACATTTTGTGAATGCATCTTGAAAAAAAATCGAACCTACGCATGCACTTTTCCAGTACAACGCAAGCACATTAATGTCGTTAAAGTCCGTTTTACTATGAGGTATTCTTCGAGAAAATTAAGTAACGACAAGGTTATAACCACAGCTTGCAACTTTTGAAGGCCAATTGCCTGTTTTTTCCAGGTTATCAGTGGAAACATTTTATTTTTAGGCAACAAAATATTTGAAATCCCGCCATTTTTTCAAACCCGGCCAGGGGATCTGGGCGAAAAAGTTCACGCATGCTCATTACGTTTTTCCGCCCTGAAGGCTTTACCAGGCTCTTACAGTAGGTCAATGAACCAGGTTATCCTGGTATACCAGGTTTTTTCTGGCTAGCGTGGTTTCTCATTTAAAACCAGGCTAAACCTGGCTCTTGAAGTACTGAATTAACCAGGGTTCAACCAGGCTTGATCTAACTGTCAGCAAAAGCCTGGTTAACCAGGGTAATCTTGACAAATCCGGTAAATCCTGGATCCCAGCATTAATTTTTGAAAAACAAGCTACACGAGCCTTAATTGGAATATAAAGAAAGCCTGGTTATTTACGGTATTTGTGTTTTTCCTTTGAACGAGGAAAGCCAGGCTTTAAAGTGTGGCTTAACACGGTGTAAAACAGGCCATTAATAAAAAAAGTGTCATTGAAAAACAAAATTCTATGTTTTCGAGGTGTTACATCTACAATACCCGGTATTATTAAGTAATGGTCCAGATAAGAAGGAAAGGACCAAAACGCAGTGAACACGTCGGAATGCAAAAAGGTGCTAACTTTACTATTGTCTCTACTAAGGTTCTGATTGGTTTAAACATCAAATTTTACGAAATCTTCGCAAAGCAGCATGTACATCGATCCTTTTTTTTCTATCCAACTTCCTTATAACAAAATCTCGTCTGAGTCTAAGTAACACAGAAATCGTATGTGCGGATCATGTAAAATTGTGAACATTTCTTGGCCATTGTTTGAAACTCTTGTGATTGGTCGAAATGTTTTAACACAAAAATACACCCTTTAAAAGTATAGTTTAAATACATTTTCTTTCGTAAACAGCCTTTTTGTAGATTTATGCACTCTCTGCGTAAAAATGAAAACATTTCTATGTGAGGAAAGCGTATTGCGCCACAACAATAGAAATTGCTTTCCTTCTTACCTGGATCATTACTTAATACTATGACTCCGAGTCATTGGAGCATAACCAGGCTAATATCTCAGAGACAATTTGCCCCGAAATGCTAGTTTTTGGCAAGTAGGCCTCTTGGATATTGTTCTTTCAGAATACCCTGACAAATCCCATAATTTCACAAATTTATTTTATTAAGACTTCACACTTTAGAAAACTATTGACTAGAGTTCGCTAGCACGACAGAAGTGCCAAACAAGATAAGAATAAGTTAAGTAGGGAAGAACTGCAGCTTTAAAAACCTGTAATTTAGTACCAGTGGGTAACCAGCCGTCAATCATATAGTTACGATCTTGAAACACGGAAACACACAAGACAGATCAACTAGCCTTTAGTAAGAAGTTAGCTCTAGGTATGTTAACTGAATTTCAGTTTGTAAACCGCCCAAAAGCAATGATAAATCATACATTTAAAGTTGTTGTTTTTTAGTTTTTGTTGTTGCTTTTTACTGTTATTTCTCTAGGGCAAGAGAAGGTTCAACAACGAGATGAGAGCGACAATAAACACACCGAAATAGCCTGAAGTACTCCCTTTGAAACGTTTTGTTCAGTACACCGTATAACATAGGATTTATAGCACTGCTCATGGTACCCAAAATACTATATGCAAAGTAAGCTTCACGGGAAAAATGCCAACTTCCGAGAATCGTATCGACAACATCAATTATCAAAAGCGGGGTCCAACACAGATTGAAAACCACCACAATCGCAAACAATGTGCGCGTTATTTTAATCTCTTCCACATTTATTGCTCTACCTCCAGATTCATCTCTTTGCAAGTTTCTGTTGTGGTCGCGAACAAACTGGTAAATTCTGAGGTAGCAAAAAATAATGAAGCATGTAGGAAGACCAACATAAACCGTTACCACTATTGCAGTGAACACACCACTATCGATTTGAAGATAGCAAAAGAACTTGGAGGGATGAAAGACCATTCGGTGTCCGCTCAGAAGATAAGGCAATGAAGCCGTCATGGAATAAAGCCAGGAGAGAATGATCATTATCGTAGTTTTCTCCCTGGTAAAGTATCGCCGGTACGCTGCTGGTTTGAGGATCCTAAAATATCTGTTGAAAGCCATCAAAGTCATGGTATGTATTGAGGCAATTGCAAGGGTTACAGCTAAGAAACCTTGGTACTGACAAGTTGCATCGTCAAATGGCCACCTGGATAACACTAAAACGGGAAAACTCAAAGGACAAGCAGTCAAAAGCCCCAAAGCGAAGTCTGAGACAGCTAGTGATGCCACGAACATATTTGGGATGGTTCGCATCTGTCGGTTCAACAGCATAATCGCTAGGGTTATAAAGTTCCCCGCAAACAAAACGAATAGT